AATGGTCACATAGCATTTGTGCTGACATTGGCTGAGCCCCTTTACAGTCTTCAGCAGAAAAAAACTGAAGAGTGGGATTTACTTTGCCTCGTGACTGCATTGAGTTTTCATGCTTTCATATTGCTTTCCTACTGGACTAAGCCACACAGAGTAACTGTCCCTGGATTCCTTCCCGTGCCGACCTGAAAGCCCTTTATCGTCCTCCCCGTTATGCCTCGTAGGATGAGGTTTACTGGGGAGGTCGATAAAAGGCTTTCATGTCGACAGGGGAGCGTCCAGACTAGCGTGCTGAGAGGACAAACAGCTGATTAGCTGTTTGTCGGCTCAGCGTGGCAGCCATGTAAATTTAAATGAAGCCACGATCATTTAAATCGTGGCTTCATTTGCCTTTGCCTACAACCCTAATCTACATGGCTCCATTGATGGAGCCATGTAGTCTAGACACAGCCGTATAGACATAGACAGCTCTATGCTCATCCTCACCCTTGGATGGCACAGTGGCATTACTCATCTCCTTATTCTAGACCCTGGTCACCATGTTGTCATCATTTGGCCTCCAGGATCCCATCTACTATCTCATGCACACCAATTACGAGGTACTTCCCACCATCATCCCGTGCCCGTACTCTGCCACCCACTGAGCAGCTTGAGACAGAGGAGGGCCAAATATCCGAGCTTCAGCATCCTGACTAGGGATGTTAAATTTAGTTTAATCAATCAATTGACTAGTTGATGGATAAGGGGCCAGGAGCCAACCCCACTGCAGCTCTGCCTTTTTAAGGTATTACGAGCCAGCAGGTCTTCTCCCCGCCACCACCACTGTGCACCAGCCCTTTAAATGCATTTAGAGCCACCAGGCAGAGGCTCAACTTTGTGGGACTGGGCGCGAGCTGGGTATCAGCTGATTCCCAGCTCGTGCCCAGTCCCTGCTACCCCCTGCGTCCCGCAGAGACAGTCCTGGGGGGAACTGACTTCTAAGCTGGCTCCCCCCAGTACGAACTCCTGCTCCCTCCCTTGCTGCTTCTGATAGAGGCAGGAAGGGATGGGGGAGTGACTAGTCGAGGGACTAGTTGACTATCCAATAACCTTTTGCTTATCGGATTTGTCGACTCACTTCCCCTGCTGACCAATCCTCTTCCTCCCCAGATAAGGCGGTCTTTCCAGGAGATGTCTCACCAGCAGATGACTTGAAACAGTTCCAGGAACTATTTAAAAGGGTAGCTACCAATCAGGAGGTACAACTTATGGCAGTCCAGGAGAAACAATATTGTCCCCTTAAAAATCTACAGCCTTCCCACCACGCCAAGATCACGTTACCCGTTGATGAGGCAGTCATGAAAGTGGCTGACAAAATATGGCAGACCCCAGCTTCTGCCCCTCATGCCAAAAAAAGGGCTGAAAAGAAATATTTTATTCCTGCCAAGAGCATAGATTTTTTTATTTTCACATCCTCAGCCAAATTCTTTGGCAGTTGACGCAACATATCACAGGTCAAAACTACCACAATGTAAAAATGCGGTGCAGGATAAAGAGAGTAAACACATGGACTTGTTTGGCAGGAAGATGTATTCTTCCTCAACTCTCCAACTCTGTATTGTGAACTACTCAGTCCTTCTAGCCAACCACAATTTTGGTAACAACTCCAAAATTAGGGGGCTGAAGAACACCTCCTGGACAATAAAAGAGCTATTCTAAAGTCGATAGTGCAGGAGGGCTATACTATGACTTGTACTGCCCTACAAATGGCCCTTTATGTCACAGGCACTGTGGCCTGCTCTGCTGCAACATCTATAGTCCTGAGGAAAGCTTCTTGGTTCCAACCCACATTCAGTAATTAAAGATTAATTACTAGATATTCTCACCAGTATTTGCAAGTTAATACTATGTTTACCACTGATGCTTTTTTGTTTACATTGGTATTTATAAAGAAAGTTACAGCAATTTTGACAATCCCAATCTCTAAAGAGCTGGTCAGAAAATACCATTTACAATTCATCCTTAGACCTGCATAATACCACGTTCCGCATGAGCCACACAACTCCTGAGCAAAATTAATGTTATACATTTAGGCTGTGTCTACACTGACGCCCTTTTCCGTAAAAGGGATGCTAATGAGACACTTCGGAATTGCAAATTCCGCGGGGGATATTTAAAGATGAACATGGCTGCTGCTTTTTTCCGGCTCGGGGTTTTGCCGGAGAAAAGCGCCAGTCTAGACTGGATCTTTCAAGTAGGAATAAGGGATCTTCCGGAAAAGGGCTTATTTACTGCAAGATCCCATCTAGACTGGCGCTTTTCTCCAGCAAAACCCCGAGCCGGAAAAAAGCGGCAGCCATGTTAATGCAAATGCCGCGGGGGATATTTAAATCCCCCGCGGAATTTGCAATTCCGAAGTGTCTCATTAGCATCCCTTTTACGGAAAAGGGCGTCAGTGTAGACACAGCCTAAATGTATAACATTAATTTTGCTCAGGAGTTGTGTGGCTCATGCGGAACGTGGTATTATGCAGGTCTAAGGATGAATTGTAAATGGTATTTTCTGACCAGCTCTTTAGAGATTGGGATTGTCAAAATTGCTGTAACTTTCTTTATAAATACCAATGTAAACAAAAAAGCATCAGTGGTAAACATAGTATTAACTTGCAAATACTGGTGAGAATATCTAGTAATTAATCTTTAATTACTGAATGTGGGATATCCAGAGTAATATGAATGAATCTAAATGAATTTCAATGAGATGGGGCTACCTAATTCCCCCAAACTCCTCTGAAATTACCAGTCTGTTGTCATAGTACATTATTAAACAGCCCAACATATATTTTGAAATTTTGATCAGAGCATACAAGTTTGGAGACACTTCATCTACTTCTTGTAGCCTGATTTAAGTGGCTGAAGAAAATAAAACAAGGTTCATTTTCAGAATTGTATTGGAAAGTTAAATATATATAACCAATTATTTATCATTTTTGCATAGGGATATGAAGCAGTAGCCTATACTCATCAGGTAGTCAAGTTTACTACTCTTCTGTCAGAGGTGGGGGTGGGCAAAGACTGCTGCCACGAAACAGCCTCTATCCATGGCGACCCCTCTGTAGGCAGGGGCTGCTTTGCGGCAGCAGTCCCTGTGTGTGGGTGTCCCAGCGGGAAATTGTGACCTCCCGCACACAGGGGCTGCTTTGCGGCAGCAGTCCCTGTGTGTGGGTGTCCCAGCGGGAAATTGTGACCTCCCGCACACAGGGGCTGCTTTGCGGCAGCAGTCCCTGTGTGTGGGTGTCCCAGCGGGAAATTGTGACCTCCCGCACACAGGGGCTGCTTTGCGGCAGCAGTCCCTGTGTGTGGGTGTCCCAGCGGGAAATTGTGACCTCCCGCACACAGGGGCTGCTGCTGGCTGGGCAGGCAGCCCAGCTCAGTTCTAGCTCATGCCGGGTCCAGGACCAAACCCCGCTGTGGCTCTGAAATTTAAAACACAGTATGAGCCAGAGGGCAGGCTGCCCGTCTCCTACTTCCTTTTAAATTGAAGAGCCGCAGCAGAGTTTGCCTATAAAGAACATTGCCTATTAACTAATCAAGTATTTGATAAAAATTATATCAACTACTTGATTAAATACCCACATTTTAAAATCCTTACTTCTTCCTATGCTTCCTATATAATGCTTTTAGGGTTGCCAGATGGTTTAACCCAAAATACCAAACATCCCTCTCCCCCCCCCCCAAAAAAAAACATGGGGGAAAAAATTCTGTTGAGAAAAAAAAAGGGGGAGAAATGCTTTTGAGGCTTTTTGGCCATTACAGGCTGCTGGTGGCCATCTGCCATCTTGTCTTCAGCTCAGGGCCAGACAGCTCCCCTGCAGAATCAGGTAAGCACCTGGTACTTTTACCTCCTGGCCAGGAAAACATCAGAAAATACCGGACATTTTAGGTGTCCGGTATTTTCTGACTTTTCTACCAGATAGGAGGTGAAAATACCAGACTGCCCGGGTCAGTACCGGACACAGTGAGAGCCTAGTTACACACACCAGTGGGTTACAGTAGCACCCAGTTGGCACTGATGTAAATGACTACAGGAGGTGAACAGCAGTGGATAATCTGGCCCTTATGTCCACTCTCAGACTATGTCTATACTACAAATTTTGCCAGAAGAGGCAATGGAAATGAAGCACGGATTAGCATTTTCCAGTGCTTCATTTGCATAATCTCTTCTGATCCGTTCTTGCACAAAAACAAGCAGGATGGACTTCCTTTTTGCGTAACCCCCCCTTTTTGCATCATAGTATAGATGCAGCCTCTAGCATGCACTTCTGCAGAAGTTCTGCCAAAATGTGCATCACATACAGGCAACGACATGGATGCTTTTTACTCTGTCCATTCAAAATCTTTCAGCCTGACTTTGGAGGGACCATTACAAAGAAGGGTCAGTTCCAGACTCATTTAATTGTTGGCCAACAATGGCTTCAACTGATGCCTATATGGTAGTCATTTGGGGAATATGGCCTTTCAGTATTCCAACAACTTGACTGACCCCACCAGCTAATTCCATGTAAGTCACTATAAAGTTGTCAGATAATTCATTTTCATTTTTAAGCTTGCTATATTGTTAGAGTTAAAATGTAATGAACAGCTACATAGGTGATAGGTTGTAATGTTAAGGAAGGTTAATAGGGCAGAAGTGTCTTGTTCAGTTCTCACCATGACCTCTTTAGATCTATGTCAACTTACTGAGTAACAAGAAATTATTCTGCCAGACTTCCAGGTCTAGACACCCTCCCCCTGTGAATATGAATTCATCCAGATTCTTGTTGAGTGTCTGCAGTATGACTGTTTGGTGTGACAATAATAGTAAACAGTCTAGTGATAGAGTGTAGCTGCCAACACTTGTAAAACACTCTTACATGTTTTGGTTACAAAAGAAAAATAGTTTTTAAAACATTCTCAACACTCAAATGCAAATTCAGAGATAAAAAGGGAGATGGATGGGAGAAAATAAGAGTGAGCGATACTTACGTCAGAACAGAACAGAATCTATGCTCAGTGGAATAGAAGAACGTCAAAGGTTCAGAATTTTGTTTTTCCTAAGGAAATATTTCCAATCAAGGAAAAATAATTACAACTCATTCCCACCTACCTGCCTGTCAGTTTACAAGTTTTTAAGCAAAGACACTTTGGATTTATCAAAGCACAAAAGAGTTGAAACAGCTTTAAGTGGGAATCAAAAAAGCGGCTACATGGACTTTCTTCAAATTTTGAAAATAAATCACTTTTGAATAGACACACCTCACAAGAGATGGCAGTCCAATATTTTGGTGAATGGGTTAAAAGGGGAGTTTAGAATAGAATTATCTTTTCTTGAGTGTCATTAGGCTAGTTTTCCAGGTGTTTGGTTTTTGGCCAGAACACCCAGGCTATGTCTACACTGCAGGTTTTTTGCAGAAGAGGAAATGCAAATGGAGTACTCATTTCCATGTATCATGCTCTCATTTGTATATTTTTCTCCGATCTTTATTGCGGAAGAGGTTTTTGCGAGAAAAAGCCCTGTGTAGATGGGGCCATTTGTTGGAAGAACTCCTTTTTGTGCAAGAGCCCGTAAACCTCATTTTTTGAGGAATAAGGGCTCTTGTGCAAAAGGTTTTTTTTTTCCGACAAATGACCCTGTTTACCCAGGGCTTTTTATTGCTAAAACCTCTTCTGCAAAAAGGATCCATAGAAGATATGCAAATGAGAGTGTGAGATATGCAAATGAGCAGGGCTCACCTAGTGGTGGCGAGTCCTGCTCGCCAGCCGTGCAGTTTTGTGCGGTTCTGTACTCTGCGCATGCACAGATCATTCTGCGCATGCGCAGATCGCTCTGTGCTGGCTCTTCCAGGTTGTAATCTACTTGCCACGGGCGAGTAGATTACATTATTTGTCAAGCCCTGCAAATGAGTGCTCCCTTTGCATTTCCTCTTCCACAAAAAACCCGCTGTGTAGACGTAGCCCCAGTGAAAAAGGAACCCAGGCTGCTCAAGTCAGCACTGTTGACTAGGATGCTAATAGTCTGGTTGGCCAGAGTGGCCAGCTCTCTGGGGTTCCTGGAAGCGGCTGTCATGTCCCTCTGGCTCCTTCCCAGACCACGAGAGGCTTCACCCCCAACAAGAGCCCCACCTGCCCCGACCTCCTGTATCCTGACACCATCATTTATAGCCCTTCCGTGCAGCCTGCACCCTCAGCCCATTGAACATGAGTGAATGAGCAAGTCTGGGGGGAAGAGGGAGGGAAGGGGGCTGGAGTGAGTGGAACAGGGCTTTGAGGCAGGTGGGGCAAGAGTAATCTGTTTTCTGCAATCAGAAAGTTGGCAACCCTACGAGGCTAGATTATTCCATTTAAGCAGTGCTTTGAGCAGGGGCGCATTGCAGACACACAGAAACCCCATCTGTTCTAACTACCAGGGGCCTCAGCATGCAGATTTACAGTCTGTATTAGTAGAAAACAGTCTTTCACCTTCAAATTATGTTAGTGGTCCTGAGTATTGGGAATTGAAATAACTACAGTGTCATGAAACTAAATTACTGTGGAAGATTTGAAAAAAGTCAGTAATTTAATCTTACATTTTCATTTATTCCAAATTCTAAATACTTCCTCTGACACATTCCCTGAACAGTTACTGTTACTCGGTCTCAAAGCATACATAGTACTCTATATTGGTATACAGTAGACAAAAGGTGAAAGGGCTTTTCTGTCTTGTTATAATTGGTGTTCACTATTTGTCTTTGATGCCTTCTTTTCAAGGTATTATTTATAACATTCAGGGTTCTTTATGAGGTGCTACATAGGATATTCCTTGCTGTTACCTTGTATGGAGTGATCTTTAATGTTTATTCTGCTTTTCTTCTCACACTCTCTATTCTACAAGAGCAGCACTCACAAAGGGATCTGAAGACATGAATAGCATAGTAAAATTTACAATTATAAAAGAAAATGTTTATCTTTGCTTTGTGAAATGAAAATCAGATATTTCCTTTTTTTGCATTCTCTAATAACCTGACTAAATATAATATATAAAAATTCATAATCACAAAAGGTAGGTTAAAATAATTGGCAAATATGCTGCATACAGAAAAACAAACATATGTTAATGAGAAATGTAACTATTACATCTGTTGTGTCATTTCTCATTTACCGTGCATGGAACACTGAAATTCAAATGTATGGATATATTATATATACATATATGTTTATGAGCACACGCATACACACACTCACATACAGTGCCATCTATTTTGTGTATTTTGGCTACAATGTTGTCTTTTTCAATACTGCTATCTTTACCCAATTGTATTAAACAATTTCAAGTACTTTTTTTAAAGTGGGGAAAAAGCCTGCAGGATTTTTCTTCATGTTTCATCCAGTGTGTTGCAGTTAGTTTCCATAGATACAGTATGTGTTGGTTTCCTAGGAAGCTGCTGTAGGATAGCATTTGATTGGCTGTGTTGTCACATTGATTGTCAGAATTGTGGGCAGAGTTTTGAGTGGTAGATGTGTGCAGGTGATGCACACAATAACCTAATGCCTTATCAGCTAAGTGATTTACAGTATTTCTAACATACAAAAGCTTCATTGAAAATTAGGTGGGTTCTTCTATTGAAATGAGTTATATCCCAGTGGGTTAATTTACTCTGAGTGACAAAAAGGCTCTGATTACTGTGAGGCAGTATGAAGAGGTGAGTTGAATTGAAGTGTTGTAATGATTTTATTTTGTACCAAAGTTGGGGTTTTGTGTCAAGGTTTTTTCCTATTTCTGTAGTGTTAACTGAATATGAGGGCTGTAGTGCAACATTCCTGCCTTATGGATGATAAGGCAGAATTGCAGCAATCAGGAAAGAGATTATTGAAAGACATTGGAACTTCAGAACACATTAAAGTCTGGGTTGTATCAGAGCACATAGCACTTTTCTAACAGACTGTACTGGCAGGGACAATTCTGAGATATACTCTTCCTTATTCATGGAATGATATCTCTGAACTAATCTGTAAGGCTGTAACTCTCTCCTCCTTGAAGCCTACAATAAATATGACACCCAATGATGATTTGGCAGGGACAGCCAATTTCATCTAGTTATTAAACATTTGGTACCTTCAAAAAAAATCTTCGTATTATGCATGTATTTTTTCCTATTCCATTCATATGTGCTCTCCCCACACACCCTTTTATTTATCATTCCCATATGGTTACATATTTTCCTCAGATTAGATTGTAAAGTTTTTGGGAAGGCATTGTCCCTTACTATGGCTACATCTAGACTGCAAGCCTCTTTCGAAAAAGAGCATCTAGACTACAACCAGAACTTTCGAAAAAGCAAGCCACTTTTTCGAAAGAGAGCATCCAGGCAGTCTGGATGCCCTCTTTCGAAAAAGCACAGTTTGCATTACATAGCGCCTTTTTTCGAAAGAGCACTTTCGAAAAAAGGCGTTCTTCCTCGTAAAATGAGGTTTTCTGTGGTCAAAAAAACTGCTGCAGTCTTTCAATTTACTTTTGAAATTATGTGGCAGCAGTCTAGACGCAGGGGAAGTTTTTTTTTTAAAAGACCACTTTCTTTAAAAAAAAACTGTAGTGTAGACATAGCTTATGTGTTTTATAGAACCTAGTGTCATAGAGCTTTCCTATAGACTATGGTCGCTGGATGCTACCACAAAACTTTTATTACTAAAACTAAAAACAAAGAATAACTCCTTCAGAGTTCTGGAAACTAGAACTTTGACCAAAGAGGAAGATCTACCACAAAGAAAAGATGGTTTCTAAAATGTTTTGATCAGTCAGCATGTTTCTCAAGTGTTATTTTTGAGAAGATAATAGTGATTTAGGGAAGGGTATATTTCAACTTCCTGCACCAGCTAAGCCCATTGCAATAGAAGTGGAGAATCAGCACTGGTTAAGAGCAATCAATGTTATCACTAATCCATCATTCTGCTTAATCTTGTGCTGGGGTGAAATGGGGAGAAAATTTAACATTTGCCAGGAGCTACAAAGAAATTTGCTTCCCCCAGCCAACTTGACATAGCTGCTCCTCATAAAACACCATCCAACTTATTGTGCTTCTCTGGTTCACTAGTACTCTGCATGATTCACATTATGGCCACTTTCTACCACTGCAACATCCTCTCCTGGTTGAATTACTTTTGAGATCTTCTGCCAAATCTTGTTCTTATTAGTAGTATAAATTAGGTGCTAGATACTTTTCAAACACCTAAACAGGGGAGACTTCGCTCCAAGGACCTCTTAATCTAAGGACAGATTAAGCTAGTGGAAGCGGAACCCACAATAGGCAATTTATTACAATTTGAGATTTATTTTATCTAATCTCTAACTATGTTAAAATTAATTTCAGAGCATTAGAGCTTTTAGCACTACTATTTGATTTTTGTTCCTCATGTCAGTGCTTTGTCTCTCACTTGGGCTCTGGCGTAAGAGGTATAGTTAATAGGGCGATATTGCAGAACTATTTTAGGTGGTATGACCTTGTCTCGATCTCTTGCATTGCCTTTGGCAGTCAACAGTGGAATAAATACATACATCTGACTCAGTATGGTAACTGTGAGCTAGTATACCGGCCTCGTTCCCTGTCTATCATAGTTTTTTCTAGGGCACCACAGCATTATGAATGCCAAAAACTGTCCCTGACAGGAGCCGAACACACACAGGCAGAGTCTCTGCAGGACTTTCTAACTTTTGGCATCAGAGTGGTAGCTCTGAGTAGGAAGGGATAGATTTCCTTGGATAAAATAATACTTTTGCACCTTAAGCCCACATTCTTGCTGACTTTGAACCCACACTTCTTTGGTGTTTGGGAAAATCTGATGGCTAATTTTTATTCTTCAATTCCCCCTTACACTTTTGAAAATGAAGATGTGTTTTCAATGTCAAGCTCTAAGAAGAGTTAGTGGGTTTATTGTTAGTTTTATTTCCAGTGGTGTTTTGTTTTATTTACACCTTAAAAGTTCAGATTACATTGCTGTAACAACGTGGCATTGACAAATAGATTTCTTAGTCCCTCATAATTACTTCATAGTTACAGTACTGTGAAATATGACCTTTTCTTGGTTAGTGTGTCAGGATTTTTGTATAAAAAATGTGCATATAAGTATCTTTGTGTAACCTACATTTTCAAGGTTGGGATTATTGCAAAGCTATGGGGGGGGGGGGAGAAAAAAATATAGATTTTTTCAGAGTGTCAACATATATTTCCTGATAATAGTTCCTATTTCAGCATTGGTTGGTTTTATCCAAAATGGGTAAACATGAATGCTGTGTCACTTACGGTCTTCATGAGATAAGGTACACAGAATACTTCTGTCATATCTACTGAAACACATTGGAACATGGCCTTCCTATTCCTAAACATCTCCTGAAATGGCCTGATTCCAAGTGTGGGTCCTGATTCAAAGTCTACTGAAGTCATTGGGATTTATTCTCTTTAAGAAAAATCAGAAACAGGGCA